AAAGCAAGTTGAGGTCATTGTGTTGGCTAAATCTTAAACAAGAACTCAGATGTGAACACAAAGTATTTATCTTTACACAATCTCTAACTTGTTTGTTTCTTTCTTCAGCTTCATCCTTTTGCACTGTTTTCCTTTTATCTCTTTATCCTTGCCTAATAGGAATTTAGCTTAGCCATTCAGAACAGATATAACTTTGGCTATGACCAAAAAGGCAAGCTATACACATTGCTGCAACATTCTGATTCAGTATGCCAAGTTCTGGAATGGGTAATAAGTTCACATATGATACGCTGTGCCTGCAGTTTTCCAGTCACTGGAAATCACTGCGTACGTTACGGACAGAAACTGTATTTTCTCATGTGCTGTAACTGGTGTTCTTCCCTCTTTTTGTGCCTATGCGTATGCATGTCTAATACATGGACAGAACAAGAAAGTTCAAGGTTAAGACTAACACTACATCACTAATTCTAAGGTATGCTTGGTTGACAACTTAGTTTAAGGGAGGAGTGAATTTCAGTAGAGGTGACCTCTTACAAAGGCATTATTGTATTCTGGTAACAGTGGTGGATACATGATGTTGAAAAGAAGGTACTTTCTGTATTTTGTATATATTCCATGAGGACAGCCTCCAAGACCAATAAATATAATATTGCTTTCCTATATAGCTAACTTTCACAAGGACCCTATGTCCTTTACATGATCAAAATGTGGCTTTTAGGTGCAACACTTGTGTAACTCATCCTCCTGGGTTTTAATAACATAAATTATTTACTGCCTAATGGCAAAATTGGCAGGATAAGAGCAGAGAGCAAAGTTTGAAGACAGCAGAATGTGAGGGAAAAGGGAGCACATTATTTTGCATACACTTAGAACTTTGATTCATTAATGGAAATGATAGAAACCTTTCATAAAGCACAGAATGCATAAAACAGGCCTGATAAATATTTAAACATGCTAGACTGTACATGTCAAGCATTTATAGGTCAGCTACTTCTTGGAGTCATGGTTCTTTCTAAACTTCAAGATAATCTTTTCACATGGATGAACTCTCCTTGATCAATTTGCCTAGTGTCTTTAAGCAGAAACATATTCTTTCTTCAACATTGGAATGCCTTTTCTTTTGGTTTTTTTTTTTCTTAAAGGGGCATATTCATTTGATCAGCACCTGCTGTTTAGGTAGGTGCTGTGTTTAGGCTCCAGTGTAGCAGTAGCAGTGCTAATTGATGTAATGAAGGCTATTTTTTTCAACCCTAAGGCCTTTTACATGATACTGCTGCTCAGCAAGTGGCTAGCGTGGTTAAAAGTTTGAACTTTCAAGAGTGAAATTGGTTTTCCCTCAACTGTATCAGGGATGTACCTACTAGGTATCTCAACTGTGACTCGTCCATAATCATTACTAATATTATGAGAGTCACACCTCTCCTGGAAGTCCTACTCCCACTCCTTCCTTAAAGTGCTTAACCTTGCTCCCAGTCATCTTTGCAGCGATATTCTTGCCTTGCTGCACCCTTTTTATATAGTATTTCCATGCATACAATTGGCTTCATTTGAGAATCTCATTGACACAGGCTCCAAAGAATGTTTACAATACTTCAAAAGAACACAGTGTTCCTTGTACATCCTCAAACGTATGCTGTTAAAGAGTACAATTCTAAGGTAAAAAACAATTAAAAGGGCTACCCTTTTAATTTGAAAACATTTTGAACTTTTCCCTGTCTTCTTTTAGCTTGAAAATGTGAGGAGAAATCCTGGCCTTGCTGAAGTCAGTGGCATCAACGTGCTAGGATTTGATGTGACATTTTTTCCTAACTGATTTTATCCTTTTCACATCTAGCAGAGAAAAAATTAAGATGTGTTATCAATAGAGTTACTAGGGCAGAGACTCAGCTGAGTAACATGAGCGTGAAGAGTAGGCGCATACAGTATTTGAGCACACCTTTACTTATTATATTTAAATTGCCTTGGGGCAGGAATGAGTTTCCATTGTGCTAAGTGCTGTACAAGCATAGTAAAATGTTGTCTTTGTCTCATAGCATTTTAAAAGCACAGCACCTATTATAAAAAGGCTTATGTCTGCTTCAGGTTGGTAAGGATTTTTGGGGGGTGATATAGCACTTCATAACTTTAGTGTGATCCAAGGAGTATTTCATCATTCATGTGGGGGTTAAAAATCCAGTTTCTTATTCAAAATACAACTCAGTTTGTATACATACATGTGTGCTGGGTGGTGGAGGCTGGTGATATAGTCTTCTAATTTCACAAAGAAAAAAGCTCCAAGGTAGGGAATGACGTCATCCAGATAGCTCAAAAGAGCCTGAGGACACTAGGGACATTACATTCAGGATGATCCTTTAGGTATTTCTTTTCACTTACAGCCACTCAAAGTCCAGGTCCTTACTTTGAACTATCCAATTAATAAATATGACTATAAATTGTTTATACAAATACATTCAAATTATTTTGGTTACATTTCTACTTTTTTAAAGGTTTTAGGATTAGAAACTGGGAATAAGAATCCAGATCCAGCCTGATGGTTTTTTGAAGCTTGGCACTGCAGCATATTAATTTTTATTAAACTCTTTGTTCCAACAGAAATTGGAACCTTTTTACTAAACCTCCTAGGTAAGAATCCACAGGAGACATTTTATCTCAAAGTAATTTATTTCTGCAAATAATTTTCAAACTTCACATACTTTATTGTCCACATAATGATGCATTCAAGTAGTTTTACAAGCTTCTTTTCCTCTGCTGTTCTATTTTGTCTGTCCCACCTTGAAAGGAAAACAGGATGTGGAAGCAAAGCTAACAAATTGGAGTTCCAACTGGTTCGGGAAGGGTTGCTGTGGCACCCCTTCCCTCAGTCTTACACACTCATAAAATGTTTGTTTTTCACCAGAATTGTAGTGAAAGTTTTACATAATTCCAAAACATATTGAAAAAAGTGTGTGAATTAATTCATGGTGTTACATAAGCACATGAAATACTCAGCTGCATCCACTATTGTAAATAGTGTGGACCCCTTTTTTTCTAACATTGGTTTTTTCTTCTCCAGGTTTCAAGTTTTGGATGCTTCATTTGTCAGACATTCGTGTGTGTCAGGCTTCAAGCTCAAGATACTGAGGCCTGCCCAATCAATAATAATTGTTGGAAGCTTGAACTATAGCCGTTATTTTTATTTTTTTTTATGTCTTTCTGAATTTAGACTGCAGATGTACAGGCTAGGGGATGGTGCTGGCTGGTGATGTAATAAACATGACATTTATTACTCTTCAGTGGCCAGAATGTTAAAAGGAAATATTCCCTCAGACAAAGCTTCAAGACATTAGGAAGAATGGAATAATGGAGACTCTTTTCCCCCCAGCTGTAAGTCTGTGGTATGGATCTAGCTGGCATTAATAGAGTTGTTGCTTTTGTCCATAATAAAAATCACACCAGTGACACTGTAACAACAGCAGTCTTGGCTTTTTTGGATGGCTTTTGTGAAACCAGGGTCTGAAACCACAAGATTTGATTGTAACTGGGGCTCATAACACTCTTAGCAGGGTTAGTAGCAGCCAGTCCTGATAGTCTCAAGTCGGGCATTAGGTAGAAGACATTGGTTGCAACGGTTCCCCTCCTTTACTTGTGGCAGGTGAAGGTGTTGTAGCGAAAATAGATACTTTTCTCTATGTTTCTTTGTTCCTTGTTTTAGTATTAACCCCTGCATTCTGTAACTTTCCACCCACATGGTACAGGATGGCCCACTACACTACGCATGTCTTACATGTTGCCCAGGTTTTGTTTTGTAA